AGCTTCGTTGTGTTTTTATATGTAAAAGAGAGGCGAAAGATACCAAAGGGACAAAAAAACAAACTGACAATGCCATGACAAAAAACGAAAAATGATGAAAACAGTGGCGGATCCAGAGGGGGGCGTAGAGGGCGTACGCCCCCTCCCCCCTTTGCTTGCACCTTTTTTTCTTTTTTTTTTGTAAAATGATTAATCAGACTAGACTTCGTGAACTTTGCCATTTCCCGTGTATTTAATTTTCATGCGACAATTCTTTACTTATAAAGATATTTTTCGCTCTTATTTACTGTAATATATTATTGATTATGTCAAAGTCATGTGATTCTCTACGATGGAGTTGACCAGTTTGTCGAAAAAAACGTCACTCAGTCATTTTGAAATTCAAATTACAGTAACACATTGCTTAGGCTGAGGATGACAAGCATGACGCCTTCAAAGCGACAAAGTATTGAGCAAGAACGTATTGACTTCTATTTCGCAATTCCACCCAACAGAAAGTAATACTCTATTACACTCTCATGAAAAAAAAAGTTCCACAGCAATATTATTTGCCTACGAAAACATGTTTAACCCCACACGCCCCAGCCCATTAATAACATTGCTGAATAGTGAACCCCAGTCAGTAAGCTCTATAGATTTAAAGTCTAAGGTACGGACCATTTGATCTGAGGGGGCAGTCTGAGATATTTTAGAGAAAAAATTCTGACCCTGATGTTTGCCTTAAACAAAAATTCTGGCCGTATCTGGATTGAAAACAATAATCTTGTCCACTATTTTGCTATTAGAAAAAAATATTTTCAACAGAATTATTTAGCATCAAATGAACATGATGAATAAAAAACGGGCATAATTTTTTTTTTTTGGGGGGGGGGGGGGGTGTTGCATGTGAATCCCATATCTGACCGGAATGTCTGTTTCGCCGAACTGATATAGTGAATACTTTTTTCAAGGCCCGACTGCAACCTGCCTGCTGGGTGTGGCCTATATGTCTCCATGTGTCGACCGTCATTCACAACTTCATTGTCATTTCCGACTAATTCGTAGTCTTTGGTTGATTTGGAACCCCTCACTTCCCTTGTTGGGTAAAACATTTCAACCAAACATTTGGATGAAAATTGCTTGTTTGTCTTTCTTCGTGTCGGTCGTATTGTAAATTTCATTGAATAGCCGTATATCTTGTTTACAACAAGAAATCTGTGAGGTTATGCTAACTAACCATACAACAATGCAAACGAGAATTTCCATGTCCATTTCTTACTGACAAATCCCACATCAAATATATTAATTAGTACATAGCTTTGGATCCATCCAATCATTTCATAATAGACAATAGACTGATGGAGAGAATACGGCACCAAAATTGTTCAACCCCTACACTTTAACTATAAAATGCATTTTACACTTATTTCATGTTTTTTAGCCAAATAAAGGTAAAAAAAACTTTAATACTACGCCCCCCCCCCCCCCCACCCCTTTCCAAAATACTGGATCCGGCCCTGGAAAAGACAAACAACAGTACACACAATCTAATTAGATTGCAGTACACAAAACACAACATAGAAAACTAAAGATTGAGCAACACGAACCCCACGAAAAAAAGGGGTTGATCTCAGGTGCTCCGGAAAGATAAGCAGAGCCTGCTCAACATGTGGCACCCGTCGTGTGGCACATGTAAGTACAAACCCGGTGAAAGTCTGATTCGGTAGGTTACATTCGAGGAAAAGAGGACGAGATTTTGGTTACAACAGATGGAACATATTCGTCGTCATCTGTGATATCAGATATTCCATAACGGTCATTCAACTCGTAATGGCGTAAACTATACCCTGAAACTATAGATAACCAAAAAATTATCAGCTAAATAATATCTACAAATAAGACTGGAAACTGATCGATCTGTTGAGATTTCATTGACCCGTTAGTATAATAGTCCCAGCCTTTTTATGTTTGTTTGTCGAACGGGAAAAAAATCATCGGAACCATTTAATCATGCGCTATTACCTCGTTTTTATATAGATTAGACCGTTGGTTTCCTGTTTGAATGGTTTTACACTAGTCATTTTTGGGGCCCTTTATAGCTTGCTGTTCGGTGTGAGCCAAGGCTCCGTGTTGAAGGCCGTAATTTGACCTATAATGGTTTACTTTTACAAATTGTGACTTGGATGGAGAGTTGTCTCATTGGCACTCATTATCTAGCTATTAGTCTAACTGTTCATACTGACGCTAGTGAATGTAACATAGTGAAATACGTCTAAAAGATGAATTATTGGGTTTGATAATATAATAACTGATCTTCTCCGTTTTAATTAGAAAAATATATAAAGATAACAAAATTTACTTTCACATTCTTGCCGATGAATGGACATTATTTAAAAACACAAGCCCCAGAAATTTATTGAAATTAAAAATTGACTTTGTTAAAAAGATCTTTGTCAAAATCGCTTTGAATGATATTGTCTGTTGTCTCCAAGCTGCAAAAATCAAATACAATTAATGGTTCATAAACTACCATTTGGACCTGGTTTTTTTGTGATGATGCGGCTTTAGCATTCAGAATTAAGCCTGGAATGTACACAATTATTTGTAGTTGCAGATTTTTCTCTATAGATGTGCATGTGCATAGAATATGTTTTTTTTTTCAATGTGATATGAACATATAGTATAGTTTTTCAAGTTTTTTTCTTTGAAATAATGCTAATGCTTGATTTCAATTTTTACTTGTAAGAAGAAGAAAAAAAATCTGAGTGATGATTTTGTGTACATTGCCGATAATTTTGTCATTTATAACCACAAACACTATATATATATAGAAATAGGAAATAAAATTTTGGTTTCATTCAAAAACATGGCTCCGTGGCTATAACTGTTAACCATGCAACCATTGAGAATAAATTCCGATAATAAGTAATTGCACCAATAATAAATTGGGTATATTTCTAAACGTTCCCTTAGTATATTCTGCCTCTTCAGCTTTACAGTACATTTTTTTTAAATTACCATTAATAATCAAATGATAATTGATTAATCCTGGTTAAACTCTAAAAATATTTCGAGTCTAGTGGTTCCGCCATCACACACATACATATTTATTTATATATGTGTGTGTAGTTCATTCGTGTTCTAACTTCTTTTTCTTTTCTTTGTATGTATACTTCATTATCGGTGCTTTGCTTTTGCGCCAATTGGCATTTCATTTGCGCCAAAATAATCTTTCATATATGCGCCACAAACCATATTTCATTTGCGCCAAAATAAAACCTTTCAATTGCGCCAATAATTCAGGTAAATACAGGTAAATAGTATAAAAAGTAGTTTTATTCAAAGGAGACTTTTGATAATAACTTTAAAACACATATTCCTCCGAAATCAGTCACCGTAACCAGAATGAAAGCACTATATATACACTACTACGTTCCTAATAAGAGACTTTTCATAATAATGTAAAAACACAGTTATGTTATAAATTAACGAGATATAAAACCTAAAAGAAAGCACTATACACTGACCCCCTCTACACTGGAGTAAAACCAAATGTTTGTTCTGACACAAGACTTGTAAGCAACGGCTCAGATGTACTCATGTACACTGGATAACCTATATGTGTCGTCATAAAAAACAAACATATTTCCTCTATATAAAAATAAGGAGATGTGGTTTGATTGCCAATGAGACAACTATCCACCAAAGTCAAATGAAGTGGATGAAAGCAATTATAGGCAACTGTACGGCCTTCAAAAATGAGAAAAACCCATACCGTATAGTCGGCTATAAACAGCCCCGACATGAAAAATATGAAACAATCCAATTGAGAAAACTAACGGCCTAATTGTCTCAAAATTGACAATGTCCATCTTGACACCTCAAACATGAGAACACTGTATAGTTTAAAACCTATATATAAGTGACTCTCCGTTTTATATAAGAAATGAGTATGAACTTACTTAGTTACCCATGGGGGATACACTAAAAAAAACTTATTCACGATGTAGCAATGAATATTTTAAACTTTTACGTTATATGTTACCTGTAAAATGGCGCAAATGTAGTTTTTATTTTTTGGCCCAATTGAAATATAACCTTGTGGCGCAAATGAAAGATGTGATTTTGTAAAAAATGGTGCAAATGCAATGCGCCACTTCATTATTGTTTTATATTGTTGTTTTAATAATGTCGTATTGTAATATGCTCTTTGTGAGCCCATTTAATGGAAATAAAACATCTTCTTCTTCATACACACCTTAGCCGACAGCACTGTATCATTAAAAATGTGTAACAGTGCCATATAGTCGATCTCTTCGTTGGTAAACGTTTCAAGCCAATTTTGCCATTGTTCACATGTTTTCTTGGAGTTCATGGCAGTCATTGTCTGAGGAAATGGTCAAATGGACAACAGTATCGACCACAAAGTCTTCATGTTGAGTTGAGCCCTTCTTGTAGGTCGGTAATATGAAAATGAAATAGATATTTTGGAAATTCCCCTTCGACCACGACTACACATGCACTTGTCTCTGCAAAATAATACCTATATACTTTGCGTTTTATTAAAGTATATACTAGTAGGTATTTTTTCAGAGACAAGTGCCTGTGTTTCAGTGAATAATGAATCTGTGATTTACAAAATCACCATCATCCGATGTCGATACAACATTTTAACGATTTACAAACAGTTGATTCGAAGTAAACATGTATTTAGTCGATATGGTACGAAATGGTATATGCAGTTGGCCCTTATGCATAGTACGAAATGGTTTTGATCATGGGTAAAAAATTGTAATTTCAGGTACGAAATGGCGAAGGTACGAAATGACTATATAGCTTCCATTCGATTGATTGTTTCAACATCAAAAAATGATTTTCTCTAAATTATTCTTGCTTTTGATAAGATATTAAACTTTTTCTTAATCATCTTAAATCCATTGCTTAGTTAAAAAAAATATTGCAATTTGAATAAATCGACTCGATATATCTTTTCGGGTCCACGTTCAGGTCTTTAGTGTTACCCTGCGAACCGGAAGTGATTTACATGTGTTTTGAGAATTTTGAAGAATCTCATGGCTGCATTTGGTGTGCATTTTGGTTCGACTTCAGCTTGTCTTGCTGTTTACAAAGTAAACGAAATTTTAAAATGAATTCAATAACATATGTGAAATAAATAGTTTCATATTTTTTAAATATTAAACAGCAAGTGTGAATTTTACAACGCCGCCCGGTTTGTCCGGTGTCAATCGTATCAAACAAATTACAAAACAAATGACTGAAATTTTTTCTACCTTATTACATCATGATTTTGTCCATTTTAAAATCAAGAATTAATCAATTATATTGCCTTATATCAGAAAAGTTCAATCTAATAAGATCATGTCATGAAACTTTAAAAATCTTAATGTTCATTTGAAAGAATAATGGATTTTATACACAAAACAGCTCGTGGATAAATTATAAATATAAAAATATAAAAAAATACACAAAGTTCAGAATAATTATAAAATAAGTAACCATAAGCTTAAAGGTTGAAACTGGGCGATACACTAAATCATGTGTGCCTTATGAAGAAAGAATATGACATGTTCTTCGGGTGATTTTAAGGATGAAATATAATTTTTTTTACAATGTTCTCAGGGTTTGAAATTAGCAGTTGCCATCTTGCCATTTGCAAGTGTTTTTTTTATGTGGGCTTATGAATATGTTATCTAGTTAGCCCACATGGCGAGTGCATTTTGAAAATTATTATTATTAAAATCACATGATATCGAGTGTAAATCACGGAAACTCATATGTTTTCCTAACTGGTATCCTCTTAAATGAACAATAATCTGCAGAAAACCAGTTTTAAAACTGTTGCGTTTTTTTCTAAACCTTGGATCCTAGCTCTATTCGACTGACACAAACTTGAGGTTGGGCCAGTTCTGTTTTCACAACTTGATTTCAATTACCCATGCGTGTAGCAAACTCTTCTGGCTGTTCTGTTATGTTGGCATGTTATGGTTTCTACATGTAACTTTGTTGTTTAAATGTTTTGGTCTGATGCATGACTCCTGAGGTTATATTCCAAATTTGTCTCGTGCCTCGTTATATTCCTTCCAAATCGCTTATCAAACATCATTTATTTTTGTAAATTTTCCCTCGTCCGCCATTGAAATATATACGAACCATGGATCATACATGGACCAACTATGAATGAGATCTGTATTCTAACTATAATAACTACAGACGCACACAGCTGGCAGAAGAAAAATGATCACAAAAGTGAAAAATACGTTTTCCACACGCATTAATAGACATTTGTTTGATTTGGTTTGATCCCCTTAGTTAAACGTATATATGCATTGTTTCAATTTATTGATTTAAGTTGCTTCAATTTGTAAAATTTATATATCTCTTATATAATTCAATTCAATACAAATCTTTATTGTCTTTATGTATAAATGTTAACTGTATACATGTACATGTATTTTGTTTGAGGGCCTCAATGAAAATTAGACTAGTTCTAATTGAGTTACCCTCTTTAAATAAAGAATTTATTATTATTATTATTACACTACATTTCATAGCATGTGACACAACACTACAAAATGAAATGAAAAACAATAACAACAAGATCATTTATATACATAATGAAAGTGAATATTTCAAGAGTCCCCTGTCTGCAGTTCTATAAACTGTTTTGAAAAGGAAACTTGGCCTAGGTGTGACAAAATTTGTATCGAGAATTATAATTTCCATACAATTTGTGGGCTATTAAGATTTACTGTGGGTCCCAAAATCTATTTTACGGGGGGTCCACATGGCTCATTGAAAAATAAATGAAGTTCAACCCTGGTTCTTTTTTTAATCAAAGATCTTTTTTCTTGTTTATGTAACGAGAGTTTCAGGAGTTTCCCAATTGTATTTTAAACACAATTATTAATAACAAGCCTAAGGCCCAAGTCTGTTACATTTTCATGAAAAGTCATCAAAAGCCATATAAATTCAAAGAAATTACATTATGACACTGATTTTTGGATGATTTGAATTGTACTTTAACCTTCAATATAATTATTGGAATAATATCAGTTTAACTTATTGCCATCTTTATTTGGATCATTCTATCTTATTACATGTATGTATCCTTATGCCCCACATTGGCTACAAATTGAAATAAAAATGTGTTAAATGCAAGTCAAAAGGTAATCATTCCCAACATACTTCTGTTTTTTTGCATAGTGGAATTTTCTTAAAAAATATTCATATTATAAAATCTAGAATGAAAATGTAATTTGATGAAGGTAAATTATTATTTTGATTGTTTACATTTCTTCACTCTTGACTTAATTTTTTTTCACCTGACTTTTCTTTATAAGAGGAAACAGGAGATAAATTTCATAATATTACTTTAAACACAATAAGCAAGGGAGGCAAATAGTAACCAGATGCCCAGAGCTAGTGTTTCTTGTAAGTGGACAAACAAATTTTACTGGCTAGCACCAAAAAAATGTTGTCCACTCATTTTTGTGTAATAAGAATTTCCCTGTAATAAAATTGCAACTTTTAAGATTATAACCAAATAAGAACTGTCATATTTAATTACCTGATTTCTACTTTTGGAATGAACCATTACATAACAATGTATCTCATCTGTGGAGTTAGCACTGCAAAAGATCTGGCTGCCTTCAGTTAGCTAATCATTTATATACAATGTACTATAGTTCAATTTAGAGTTTTTGTCAAAAGAAAAATAGGGTATATGGTGTACAATAATTAGTTCATGACACCAAATCCATAAACACTCAAAATGGAAAAATGCTTTTATTGCTGTTCTCCTTCTCAAAGTCACAGTAAGGTATTCAACATATAGCAAAAGCTTACACCTCACTGCAGGTTAAAGACAACTCATTATCTCCCTAACACAATTTGAGCTGAATTCTTTTCTAGATGTTGATCATGTTACATCTACCAGTTTTATTGCATAGCATTATATCAGATGTATAATAATTATTTTCTAGGATGGTAAAACAGATGTGGTAGCAAATGACCTGGGAGATAGAGTAACTCCTTGTATTGTAGCATTCACTGACCATGATCAGGTAAGGATTAACAATATAACCTTTAAATTTTTTCAATCTAATGTTGTGCATTATATAAAGGGATGTTAAAAACTACCCCCTGAACAGAAATGTACCTTACAAAAATTATACTGTGAAAGATGAATTAATATCAAATGAATCAATTACTTCTAATCAGCCAATTGTACTTATAATACTTTTTAATGGATATTCCTGTAATTTTGACAGAGCACAGGAGGAACATACTACATCAATTTTGATTATGAAAAGATATGATTTAGAAGAAAAATGAAGAGTTAAGAAAAGTAATACATTAGAAATGCAATAGTTTTACAAATGGTATATTAACTTTAATATGGCAGTAATACATGTATACCTATTCTGTTTTCAGGCAGTTGGAAGTGCAGCAAAACAAGGAAAGATAAGGAATGCCCACAATACTGTTTGTAATGTAAAACAGATTCTAGGAAGAAGCAGTGATGATCAACTATTACAGCAATATATGGACAATTCTCCTGTTAAGGTTAAATTTCACTTACAGTTTTCTAACAAACAAATATCATAATGTTGTATCCATATACTACAAGCTAGAAATTCAGCTTAGTTCTGTCCATATACTTCCAATAAAAAATACACCAAAGTTCTGTCCATACACTACCAGCTAGAAATACACTCTAATTCTGTTCAAATACTTGAATCTATTGATACACCCTAATCTTGTTTCTTTACTACAAGCAAGAAATACAACCCAATTCTGTTTATAAACTACAAGCCAGAAAACATTATACTTCTGTTCATGCACTTCCAGCTAGAAATCCACTGTACTTCTTTCCATACACTACTAGCAAGAAATACAGCCTAATTCTGTATAAACCACAAGTTATTAAAAATTGCAGTGAGTAACACACTTTGTGCCTGGACCATATGTTGTTCAATGTTGTTTGTTAGGTTTTTTATGCCCCCGCCATAGCGGAGGGGGCATTAAGTTTTACCCTTGTACGTACGTCCGTATGTCCCAAAGTTGGTTTCCGTTCTCTAACTTTAGTTTGCCTCAGCCAAATGTCATGAAACTTATACACAATGCTTATTACCACAAAATACAGATCAAGTTTGAATTTTGGTGGTGTCACTTTAACCGTTCTAGAGTTATGCCCCTTTACAAAAAGAAAAAATGCTGAATTTTTCTTTTCCGTTCTCTAACTTAAGTTTGCCTCAACCGAATGTTATGAAAATTATACACAATGCTTATTACCACAAAATACAGACAGATCAAGTTTGATTTTTGGTGGTGTCACTTTTACTGTTCTAGTTTTTGTATAAGTCTGGTATTGGTTGTTGATGTTGTCTGTTTTACTGTCCAGTATTGTTTGGTGATACCTGTTATCTGTGTTATGTATTACATATAGCTAATTTGTTTCAGATGATATTACAAGATGATGAACCAGTTTTCCAAGTAGAACACAAAGGACAGCCCAAAGATGTCACTCCTTCTAAAATAGCAGAAGCCATATATCTACGTATGTTAGGTAGGTGCTATACAAGTAATTATTCAGTAATATATTGACAAGATGTGCATATATCTATAAACTGAAGTGATGTACAGCCAGCACCTGTATGCAGAGGACATTTTGCACTTTTTACTAATATCTAAAAATCAATGCATAACTGATCTGCTGGTGAGTCAAGAATTATAGAAAAGTAAATCTTGCACTTAAGGTAAAAAAAAGTAGATTGTTGTCACTCTTAGTTTCATTCAGTATCCATACACATCAAAAGTTATTGAAACCACAATAATATATTTATTTAAGTTATCTATTCAACCTGGGAACAGTATATCTATATATGTTCCTGATTCAGTTGATTTATTTAAAATAAACACGCAAGTACATATCATTATTTGTCAAGAAAAATCATAAGACACTTGTTAGACTTGCACTTTAAGATGTTACTCTTTGCTACATATTAAAAAAACTTGACAAATATTTAATACTGAATTTTAAGCTGTGAAGCTCTTTCCATAAATCAATTTTCAGAATGTTCTTGATAAAAAAACTAAAATAGATTTGTAATATATTTTCTGAAACAGCAGATTAAAAATTTTAAGAAGTTGAAGGCTAAAAGCCATCTATAAAAGAAGAAAGTTTAATTAGGATTGCAAAACAAGTGAATTATTAATCTTTTTATGACCTTAGAAACAAATGTAAACAATCCAAATATACTAGGCAAAAGGGGTATTAAATGTTACCATTGACCGTCCTTCCGTCCGTCCCATTTTTGTTTCCGCTCTCTTAACTTAATCCAAATTTTATGAAACTCACATTCACACACGGCAGACAGAGTTCGAATTTGGGCAGTGAGTTCCCTTTATAACTTGGAAAATTGCAATTTTTTTCATTTCTGCACTCGAACTTAAGTTTGCCTGATGCAAATGTTATGAAACTCATACACAATGCTAAGAACCAAAACTGACAGAGTTCGAATTTGGGCAGTGAGTCATTTACCATTCTAGAGTTGTGCCCATTTATAACTCTAAAAATGGCTTATTTTTCGTTTCCACACTCTAACTTAAGTTTGTCTCATGCAAATTTTGTGAAACTCATGCAAAATGCTAAGAACCAAAACTGGCAGACAGAGTTCGAATTGGGTAGTGAGTCACTTACCGTTCTAGAGTTATGCCTTTTTATAACTTGGAAAATTGCAATTTTTGTCGAGCCTTCGACTTTAGTCGAAAAAGCGAGACATAGCGATCCTACATTCCGTCGGCGTCGTCGTCGGCGGCGTCCACAAATATTCACTCTGTGGTTAAAGTTTTTGAAATTTTAATAACTTTCTTAAACTATCCTGGATTTCTACCAAACTTGGACAGAAGGTTGTTTATGATCATAAGATAGTATCCAGAAGTAAATTTTGTAAAAATAAAATTCCATTTTTTCTGTATTTTACTTATAAATGGACTTAGTTTTTCTGCCGGGAAATATTACATTCACTCTGTGGTTAAAGTTTTTAAAATTTTAATAACTTTCTTAAACTATCCTGGGTTTCTACCAAACTTGGACAGAAGCTTGTTTATGATCATAAGATAGTACCTAGAAGGAAATTTTGTAAAATAATAAATCCATTTTTTCCGTATTTTACTTTTAAATGGACTTAGATTTTCTGTCAGGAAACAACACATTCACTCTGTGGTTAAAGTTTTTAAAATTTTAATAACTTTCTTATACTATTTTGGATTTGTACCAAACTTTAACAGAAGCTTGTTTATGATCAAATGCTAGTATCTAGAAGGAAATTTTGTTTTCTTCCAGTTAACATTACATTCAGTCTGCAGTTAAAGTTTTTAAACATTTATTAGATTCATAAACTATCCCGGATTTTTACCAAACTTGGACAGAAGCTTCTTACAATCAAAAGATAGTATCAAGAGGAATATTTTTATTGATTTACTTCCTCATTTTTGTTGAGCCTGCGATTAACAGAAAAAGTAGGCGAGACACTGGGTTCCGCGGAACCCTTACGAATTTTTTTTGTTTCCCCACTCTAACTTAAGTTTGCCTAAAGAGCATTTAAAATTTATGAAACTTATACACAATGATAAGCACTAGAACAATAGAACTCTTTAAAAACTAGCAGTGACATCAAATGCTCTCTGTATTTTCATGTATTTTAAGCAAGCTTGAGTGGGTGCATTCGTGTCCTCAGACACATTCTTCTATTATTTGGATATCTGCCTGATACATTGTGGTATACACAAAATGGTGAATAAAATGTCCACTTAAATGTATTTTTCAGAGACAGCACGAAGTCATGGTGACGGAGATATTCATGATTCTGTGTTAGCTGTTCCATGTGATTTTTCAGAGGACCAAAAACAGGCTATTAGGTTTTTATAATACTTCCATATATAATTGTGTTGAATGGCTTGAGATATATGAGGTAGGAGTGGTCTAAGTTGTTGATCACTAGCATGTCAATTCACAGGTTATTAGTTTGAACCCTTCTCAAGAACAAGGGAAATCATCATTTTCATTTTCTGAAATTATCTGGGCTAGACTTTTTGATGATGAAATACCTTGGTCCTGTTTCCTTGTTAAAAGGAAAAACAAATGATAAATTTTCTTGCCATCAAAGAATTACAGTAAATACAAAATTTTATTTTCTTTGATAGTAAATTGTTGCTCGAGATCATTCTACAGAAAATGGAAAATGTGACAGATTTTATAATATTTTGTGTTTGATCTCTGATATTTTATAAAAATAACTTGAGTGAATATTTAAAAAAAAAAATGTAAATTTGTGTAGAATGTATGAAAAATGTCTTCTAATTGTTTTAAGATCTGAGAAGACCTCCATAATTTTATTAATCAAAAGTACCTTTAAACACAAAAAAAACCTCATTTTGATGAAATTCAAAATTTCAGGGTATTTATTTTCTTTATCAAAGGGGGAATGATAGGCATGTATATTAAAAGCAAAACAAATATAACAGTATAACCACATTACAGCTCCATTGAAGCCAATAACATACTGATTAATGTTAATTTATAAAGATGAGATAAAGGAATGTACCTGAATATGAAAATTGTTATCTTTCAAGTAGTAATTTTATTAGGTTGTGTGACAACTGTGTTGCTCTGAACCTCTGTATGCAAGGTTGTTCCAGAATATAACCTTGGTATCTAGAAATAAAAAGCTTCTTTTTTTTTTATATATTTTCAGTGAGAGTGCCAATGCAGCTGGATTTTCTGTGTTAAGAACAGTATCAGAACCTGTGTCAGCCCTTTTATCATATGATATTGGACAGACAGATAATACTCTAGAATGGTTGGTACAATCAAGTTACAAAATTTTTAAATGGTTATGTAAATATGATGCTACAAGTCTCATAAATTCAACAGTTTACGCACTAGCCAAAAGTAGATGCATGCTCACTTGTTAATTATATCTTTTGTTTACAGTAATAACTCCTCATTCAACTTTGGGACTGTAGTAAAGGTACTGTCTTAGGCCAGAAGGTCACATTTTAAAATTGCCTCAGGTCACCACTCACCAAGTCACTTTTTTACCCAATTTTACAGTTCTAAACTGGTCTGATTCTCAGGTTTTCAAGACAAAACAGTCAACTCAAACACACCTGAACATGAACTGAAAGGTGTATCAGACTGTCTCTTTTGGATGTCAGAGATTATTGCCCTTTCTTAGGATTTTTTGACAAAAAAACTGTTACTGAGGGCAGAGATGCAAATTAATGCTTTAAAAAGATCAATCTTTTATCTTTCTGTTAAATGTTTTCGGCAGAATTTATGTATATGGACGAAAAAGATCCACATGCATTTGCATCTACCTCAATCGCTGTTTTGTGAAAATTTGTCTTTAATTTAAAAATTTACAAATATCTAGAAGCTCCATACTTTAATTTAAGTATAACACATATATGCAAAAAAATCTTAGTTATGCACCTACATTAAACTTATAAAGCCCATAGAAACAGATGAAAACAATTCAAGTATACCAACTTGACCATTTTTACCTTCTCTAATAAAGAGTTCCATTTCTTTTGATTAATTTCAACTTGAACTATCCACCAAAGTTCAAATGAATGGATGTAAGCAATTATAGGCAACGGTTGTCCTTCAACAATGAGAAAAACCCATACTTTATAGTAAGCTATGAAGTTGAATAATGACTAATGACCTTAATCAATTTAACTTTGCAACTATCCTTGAACTGCATAAATTATTCTTCTCAGTTTTTTGTCCCCCGCTCAACGCATTGCGGGGGATATAGACATACTGGGCATCTGTTTGTGCGTCGGTCCGTCCGGTCTTTGTTAGCGCTCTCACATGTATAATTCTTGCCAGATTTTTATGAAACTTATATCATAGGTTTAGATCAGCAATGTCTTGGACGAGTTTGAAAATCAGTGCCGATCAGTTATTTTTAAAAGAGTTATGCCCCTTGGAAAGATTAATTATATGGAAAATTGTATTGTTAGCGCTGGCATGTGTACAATTCTTTGAAATATTAATTATAACAGAAATCGCAAATTTGCTCTCAAGCCTTCATTTCTCTTAAGATATTTATTAAAAGTTTTAAAAGCAAAAAAAAAGTGTTTTTTTTTAGTATTGCCCTTGTACCTTGAAAAGATCAAATATGTGCAATGCAGGGGACATTGGAACTCTGATCTTTTATTTTAATGCAAATATTTTTGTGCTAGGAAGATTTATTTTCATATCTACATGGCTACTGTTCCAGAAGCTGCAGATGCAATAAGGATGTAAATGCATTACGATTATTTGTATAATGTTTTTTAGACAATATTTTATGATACTGGGAGAATAAACAACAGGAAGTGAATATCTGAAGACTGGATATTTTTTGTCTTGACAGATGAGGATGTTTAATATTTAACTCCATATAGGGTTCTCACATGGCTAGAGACAATTTTTCAAACTATTGATGACATGCTAGAACATATTATGTTTTACTCTTACAGCAATGTTTTAGTAATCCGTATTGGCGGAGAATCTACAGATGTCTCAATTGTTAAAGTACAAAATGGTTTATACAGAGTATTTTGTTCCCAGAATTCCACAGCAGTGGCAGGAAGTAAATTTACAGACAGTCTCACAGATTACTTAGCAACAGAATTTTATAAGTAATTTTTTTATTTGATTTTACTAACTGGTAAACAAAAATAGTTCTGTGATATCTAAAACATAATTTGAATTTATTTAAGAGTTTAAAATTCCAATTTTAAAGGACAAATTCAATCCAATTTGAGAATAAACTTGATATTTAATCCCAAAAAATTGTATGTTGAAAATTTTTTTTCAAACAATGAAATATAAAAAAAATTGTTTGTTTTCGACTATTAGTCTATTAATGCTTGCTTCAGATCTATATTAGATTAGGCTTAATTGTACAGGTGTGCATTGCAGTAATATTTTTGGGGAAAGAAGTAGAAACCTGTTTTGTGTTAAAAATTACTTTGTTCTATATATTTATTTAGAAAATACAAATTAGATGTGAAAGAAAGCAGACGATCACTGAAAAAGCTCCGTTTGGAAGCAGAAAATGTTAAACATACATTATCTACACTTGGTAATGCCCAATGTGCTGTTGATTCATTATTTGAAGGGGTAGACTTCCATTGTCAGGTTTCAAGGTAAGAGAGATGTGTATTCCTCAATACAGTAAAATATACTCAGGAGTCTGTTTTACAAAAAAAACTTACGACTAAGATTGATCGTAAGTCATGAACAATTCAGTATACTTACGATCAATCTTGGTCGTAAGTTTTTTTGTGAAACTGACTCCAGCTCCTTATTTTATTTTATAGAAACACATATATAATTAAGAATGTTTAGCTATTCTTTTATCTTTTTGATAAATTAATATTGATGTATTCATTAATCAAAACAGAATTCATTTTAATGAATAGCATAGTGCAAAATTTAAGAATTAAGTGTCAGCAATTGTTTACTGTGTATGTCTGGCCTGATTATAGTAAACTGTGTTTCTCTGGCCCGAATTGTTGACTGTGTTTATTTTGACACAACTGTTTACTGTGTTTGTCAGGCCTGAATTGTTATTCAATAAATGTGACATTAATATTCAGCCTGATAGCTGATAAAGATAGTGTTTTTAAGACTTTGATTTTAGATGTCTTTTCTGTTTGATTTTCATGTGAATAAAAGCCTGTAGCCAGGATGTCTTTGAGAGGGTTATTTGTGATAATGAAGCTATTGATTTAATAGTCAAACTTTAATCTGAATCTTCACATTGATAGTATTTTTATGCCCCCGCCGTAGCGTAGGGGGCATTAAGTTTTACCCTTGTCCGTCTGTACGTTCGTCCGTCCGTAGGTCCATACATCAGTACGTCTCAAAATTGGTTTCCGTTCTTTTACATTAGTTTGCCTCAACCAAATGTTATGAATCTTATACATAATGCTTATTACCACAAAACACAGATCAAATTTTGGTGGCGTCACTTTTACCGTTCTGGAGTTATGCCCCTTTACGAATGGAAAAATTGCTGAATTTTTTGTTTCCGTTCTCCAACTCTAGTTTGCCTCAACCAAATTTTATGAAACTTATACACAATGCTTATTACCACAAAACTCAAATCAGTTACAAATCTGGGTAGAGTCACTTTTACCATACTTGAGTTATGTCCCTTTATAACGTTATATGCAAGCAGGTGCATCATCTGTGACCCGTGGACACATTCCCCATTTATTTGTTTTCAAGGTACAAAACCCCAATTTGACTATGGGTATGAATTTAACTATTTTATATCTTAAGCATAGAATCTTATTTCAGAGCCAGATTTGAAAGTCTAATATCGTCATTAGTACAGCAGTGTCCCTCTCTGATAGATGGCTTATGTTCTACTGCAGATATTGCAAAAACAGATATCCAGAAGGTAGGTGTTTAATAGGAGTTTTATAGTGTGACTCAGGTATAAGTCTTCTCCAATAATCGACATGTTTACCATTTTTGCATCAAAGTATAAGTTTAGTAAAGTGGTCGGGCATGTTCAGCAACCATTTTGTATATTTATACTTGAAATAAAATGTATATTTCAGGCTTATTTATTTGAGTTTGCTAATCCCTTTCAGAAAAAATTAAAAGGAAAAAGAATGATTAATCTGTAATTAGTTTACTTAATTCAAAGTGTTTTTAATTAGATTTTATTAATAGAACAAACTGTAATTTGCATCAATTGTAAGTAGCAGTCAGTATATCTGTGTTTGTTAGTTTCTCACTTACCTATTAAAAAGATGTTCTTGACTGTTCTTTGCATGCCCCCGCCGTCGGTGAAGGGGGCATTAAGTGTTACCCTTAACTGTCCGTCTTTCCTTCCATCCCCTTTTCATTTCCGCACTCTAACTTAACTTTGCCTCATCCAAATTTTATTAAACTCATAAACAATGCTGAGAACCACAACAAGCAGACCGAGTTCGAATTTTGGCAGTGAGTCATTTACCGTTCTAGAGTTGTGTCCCTTTTTAACTTGGAAAATTACAAAGCTTTAGTGGGGGCAATCGTGTCCTCAGACACATTCTTCTTTTATTTCTCTTAATGAATGTAGACATATAAAACATCTTGTTAACCATCATCAAACCAAAACAATAAATAGATTTAAAGATTGAAAAAGTGTAAACAAATAATTTTCAACAATGAGCTGTTAAGAGCAACAATTGAATATTTTGTATGACATTATAAAAATTGAATCTTAGTTGTACCTTTATATTTTGTTCTAAATTATTTACTATCTTAATTTTTTCCAGGTTATAATGTGTGGTGGAGGAACGAAAATTCCATTTGTACAAAAAATAATAACTGATGCATTACCTAATGCAGAAATTCTTAATTCTATACCTCCAGATGAAGTCATAGCAATTGGTGCAGCTAAACAGGTTTGTTGTATAGCATCATGGAGTAAAAACATGTTTGTTGTTAATCCTAATATATAAATAACATATAGCTGAGAGGGTGATAGAGCAGATTGTTACATCTGAGAAAACATGTCAACCAAGGCAAAGCCAAGGTTGACAAAGTTTTTTTTTGAGGGGTAAGAATCTGCTCTATCACCCTCACAGCTATGTGTTATGTAAATTATTATACTGAATGTTCTGTCATAATTGTCTTTTAAATTGGAGATTGAAAGAAATTAACTATGATGTCATGTACATAACAACATTACAGTTATTTGAAAACAACAAAAGTGAAGCAAGATGTTTTTTTTTTCTATGTTGACAGTCTTTTAAAAAGCTCTTGGGCTGAAACTTGAGCATTGTCGATATAAGTTCAATTCATTGTCCTTTAAATTATTAGTTTTTGATTGGTTTTCACGAGAGGTTGACTTTGAAAAAATTGTCACCTGCTGAGCCATGGGATAGAATAAATTATTGCCCTCGTATTAACCAATCAAAATCCTTCATTTTGACGTGAAGTATAATAATTCGTAATATCGCCTGGTGTGGTTTATGATGATTTATTGTTGGTGTTTAACACCACATTCAGCACTCTTGGCTAAATAGAATGCAAAGGCTAATTAGCATTATGGCACTGCTGTGAAATAATGATATATTTATAGCTGGCAGTACTAGGGTTAAAACTGAAATTATAGTTAAAGTTATCAAGTAAACCATGGAAATTCAAAGGTACCAATAAGTTTTCAAGAATGACTGACTTGACTTAATCCACTTCGTCCCAAGGGGGACATAGGGCAACTACAGTTTCTCTCCATTTCTTCCTGTCCATGGCTGTTCATTTTATTTCTTTCCAGGTTTTTCCAATTTTGCTCAGCTCAGTTGTTAGTCCCCTGTGCCAGGTGTTTTTTTGGCCTTTCCCCTTTTTCGATGTCTTGCTTGGTAATGTTTTTGTCTTTTTTTCTGAGGGTATGCCCGATCCTCTTCCACTTTCTTGTTCTTATTATCTGAGTTCAAGAATGACAAGCATTATACATTGTCTTCCAATACCTATCTGGAATTTTCATTAAAAATGGAAAGATAACTATTGTCTTTACAAAAAAAATGCAATTAGATGAAATTTTATTCCGAACTGGTTTTTATGCCCCACCTAGTGGCATTATGTTTTCTGTTCGTCCGTATGTTCCTCCGTCTGTCCTGCTTCAGGTTAAAGTTTTTGGTCAAGGTAGTTTTTGATGATGTTGAAGTCCAATCAACTTGAAACTTAGTACACATGTTCCCTATGATATGATCTTTCTAATTTTAATGCCAAATTAGAGTTTTGACCCCAATTTCACGGTCCACTGAACATAGAAAATGATAGTGCGAGTGGGGCATCCGTGGACACATTACTATGGACACATTCTTGTTTTTTAAGCATTGATTTTTATCTTGCCTTGGGATGAGACAGGAAAACCTCTTACTGGGAAAATTTGAAACTTCTCTGTACCTTGATGAGGGGAGATAAAACTTCAGTTATAATGTTTTGTTTGTGTATACCCATTTCAGGCAGCTATACTAACTGGAAGTGATGAAACTGATATTAAAGTGAATTTTGAACAAAGTGAAGTTGAATGTCTGAAAAAATCTATATGTGTAAAGGTAGGTAAATGATGTTATATTATCTTACCAAACATTTATTACATTGACATCACATTTAATTATATACAGTCAAACCTGTCTATACATCTCTCCTTTAGGAGCAGAGAAAACTGGCCTCATAAAATAGGTGACTTTTGTTGAGGTTCAAAATGCATACATATTACTACACCTGGATAAGAAGAGAGTCGTGACCGGACAAAACATGAGTTCCCTTCAAATTTGTTGTTTTGCACATGACATAATCTTGAAAAAATTATTCAACACTTCTCAGTATAGTATATGCTAGAAGTAAAAACACTGGGAAAAATACACAGATGGATTATAGCAGGAGCACCTGTTTTGAAAGGGATTAAAAGATAAACCAAAAATAGAATTGAAAGATCACTAGTACCAGAAGAAAATAAACTTTGAATTTAGTTATATTGATCAAAATCTGGTCAAGTTGATCCAATAATCAAATTTAAGTAGTAACCCAATATGAGGAGGAGACATTCATTAGATGTTTTTTAATATGCTAGATGTGTTAACACAACAGATGATTGATATCTTCATGTACCAGATACATCAGTTTATCTCTTCTAATATAGAATTTTAAATTTTGATCAACCTATGAAAAAATGCAGGAAAATTATGTTCTCAGTCAGTAGTAGAAGTAAAAGTTTGTCAGTTACTCTTAGAATGTTGGTAGCTTAAATTGTGATCTCAAGTTTTCTGTATTAAAGAATAACCTCAATAAAATGTTATAACTAAATTACAGATTAAATAATTACTAACAAAACAGTATTTTTACTGATTCAATAGAAAATTAAAGATAGACTGTTAAAAAACTATTCTAGTGACATGTCAAATAAAGTTCATTATATGATTCCTGATGATTTGTTTATAGGCAGCTAATGAGTCTACATGCCAACTTTATCCAGTCTTTCCATCTTTAACACCATTTCCATGTCGAAAACATGAAACTGTCACCTTACCAAGTAACCAGACATCTTTCAAACTAGAGCTGTGTGAATGTAGTAATAATAATTCTGTGGATGCAGATCTGGGAAAAGTATGTATATATACTTAAAATAAAAATAGAGAGATGTGGTATGATTGCCAATGAGACAACTATCCACAATGATGTGGATGTAGGCAATTATAGCCAACCGTACTAGTTAATACTTTTTTTTAATAGTTTTTGTCTTGCCTTGACGGAGTCAAAAAGCGAGACATAGGTATGCTGTTTCCGGCGGCGGCGGCGTCAACAATGTATTAGTTTGTGATTAGGTCTAGTTCATGGTGAACCACTAGTGGTAGGTCAATGATATTTGGTATGCAGTTGTATTAGCATTGGCACATCTCATTACCATGGAGATCATTTGACCCTGCCCCCTCAGTCAAGGTCTATTGACTTTGAAACTGTTCATAGTTTACATGTATTAGTATGTGATTAGGTCAATTTATGGGGAACCACTAGTGGTAGGTCAATGATATTTGGTATGCAGTTGTATAAGCATTGGCATATCTCATTTCCATGGAGATTATTTGGCTCCGCCCCCTTAGTCATGGTCTATAGACTTTGAAAATTTTGCTAAGTTAACATGTATTAGTTTGTGATTAGGTCAGTTCAAGGGGAACCATTAGTGGTAGGCCAATGTTAACTGGTGTTCAGTTGTATAAGCATTAGCACATCTCATTTCCATGGAGAATATTTGGCCCTGCCCCCTCAGTCATGGTCTATTTACTTTGAAGCTTTTGCTTAGTTTACATGTATTAGTTTGTGATTAGATCAGTTTAAGATGAACTGTTAATGTTAAGTCAATGATATTTGTTATGCAAATTTATTGGCATTTGCATGTATCTTTTCCATGGAGATTATATAGCCCCACCCCTGATCATGGTTCATTGACTTTGAAACTTTTACATTGTTTACAAGTTAATGTTTGTGTTTAGGTTTATTTAAAGGGAACGACTTATAATAAGTCAATGGTATTTGGTATGCAGTTGTATTAGCATTGCCACATCTCAATCCATGGAGATTGTTTAGCCATGTACCTTCAGTCATGGTTCATAGACTTTGAATATTTGCATAACTTACATGTTAAAGTATTGCTATTTTAATGTCAACATTTGCATTATCAAAATTACAAAAAGGCGAGACATATCTTTGTGATAACAGTTTATTTTTACTGTTTGTTATTTCTAAGGTAGCAAATACAATATATGAACGTTATTGAAAAATTCTCATAGTATCCTGCAAAAGTCAAAATGATACTGAAATTGAAATTTTCAGGTTTTTATACGACCGCAAAAAATTTTGAGGTCATATATTGGTATGACGTTGGCGTCGTCGTCCGAAGACACATTGGTTTTTGCACTCTAACTTAAGTTTAAGTGAATGGATCTCTATGAAATTTTACCATAAGGTTCAATACCACAAAAGGAAGGTGGGGACTGATTTTGGGGGTTATGGTACCAACAGTTAAGGAATTAGGGGCCAAAAAGGGGCCAAAAATCAGCATTTTTGTAACTTCCAGACATAACTTGTGTGTTAGTGTATGGATCTCTCTGACATTGTACCACAAGGCTCCATATCACAAAGGGAATGCTGGGATTGATTTTGGGGGTAATTGCCTCCAAATTTTAGGAATCAGGGGCCAAAAAGGGGCAAAAAACAAGCATTTTTCTAGTTTCATGACAATAACTTGTGTATAAGTGTATGGATCTCTCTGACATTGTACCGCAAGGTTCCATATCACAAAGGGAATGATGGGATTGATTTTGGGGGTAATTGCCTCCAAATTTTAGGAATTAGGGGCCAAAAAGGGGCAAAAAACAAGCATTTTTTCTAGTTTCATGACAATAACTTGTGTGTAAGTGTATGGATCTTTATGAAATTGTACTACAAGGTTCCATATCACAAAGGGAAAGCTGGAATTGAGTTTGGGGGTAATTGCCCAAAACGTTTAGGAATAAGGGGCCAAAAATAAGAATTTTTCTTGTTTCTAGACAATAACTTGTGTTCAAGTGTATGGATCTCTCTGAAATTATACTGCAAGGTACCATACCACAAAGGGAAGGCTGGGATTGATTTTGGGGGTAATTCCTTCAAAATTTTAGGAATTAGGGGCCATAAAAGGGCAAAAAACCAAGCATTTTTCTAGTTTCAGGACAATAACTTGTGTGTAAGTGTATGGATCTTTATGCAATTGTACTGCAAGGTTCCATATCACAAAGGGAAAGCTGGGTTTGAGTTTGGGGGTAACTGCCCTAAACATTTAGGAATTTGGGGCCAAAAAACAAGCATTTTTCTAGTTTCCAGACAATAACTTGTGTTCAAGTGTATGGATCTCTCTGAAATTGTACTGCAAGGTACCATACCACAAAGGGAAGGCTTGGATTGAGTTTGGGGGTGATGAATCATAAGGGGGTTCAAAAAATTTGGGGGGGGATTTTTTTTCCCTTTTTTTTCTTTAAAATTTTCCATTTTAAATTGGTTATTTCTGATTTATATATAAAAGCAAATAATAATGATATGGTTTGAATAGGTAAATTAAAATTTTTTAAGTTCTTAGACCACATTCATTCTGTGTCAGAAACCTATGCTGTGTCAAATATTTAATTACAATCCAAATTCAGTGCTGTATCAAGCTTGAATGTTGTGTCCATACTTGCCCCAACTGTTCAGGGTTCGACCTCTGCGGGTCGTATCAAGCTGCGCCCCAGCGGAGCATTTTATTTATCTCTATTTTGCATAACCTTGCAAGTACAGACCAAATGTTGGTATTTCTTTTTCATGTGACTTAAGGTAGCACTATTCAAAAACAACTAAATTTTATCAAAATTTCATTTTCAGCTGTTTTTATTACTTCTTAATATTCCAAAACCACAGAAGAAAAATATTTTTCCATATCTTGCACTGTTAATGAGTTTTGATGATAATTAGTTTTATAAACAAATGCACGTGTCTGACTGATACAAGATAAGAACATGTGGGCAGTACTTTGTGGTTAATCAATAGAATCATTTGATAGCTTTACGACCACTGACCAGCTATAAAAATAACAGTTATGAAAAAGAGGTGGACTAGGGGTTTATAGAAAAAAGATGATAATGAATTCCAAATAAAAATACATTTCTATATTGGAGCTGCCAGGAGAAAAAAACAAAAAAACTATTTGGATCTATAGAGGGAATCAAAATATAAATGTACAAATATTAAACAAATATAACTATACAACATTTTATGTTGCTGATGGTTATATCAGATTTTCTTGAGGTGAATGTTTATATATGAATTCTTTTTAAAAAGAAAACACAAATTAAATATCTCATTTTCAAACTACAGAAAGTAGAAAATTCTACTTTGTGTTAAACACCATATTTTCATTGTATACAATTTTAATTCTAGAAATCCCCCATAAGAATCCTCTACACTGACCAACTGATCATTTTTTGTACACATGCATAACTTACTTTTTAGGAAAACGTTTAAAGTAAAATTTATTGTTTTATGTACTCCATGAATAAAATCCATAGTGAAAAAGCAAATGCAATGAGTAATTAAACTTCTGAGATCATTAATAGTTGATGTTTATCCAGGTGGGCGGAGTTTTGACCAAATCAGTAGCAACTGACTTACATCAAGGTCAATAATGATATAACTTCTCCCGCCAGATCAGAATGTTGATGCACAGTGTGTGCATTTTCTTTATATATATTTAGAATTGCTGAAATGGAAAGCTTTCTTACTGGTCAAAACCTAATTGATTTATGATTAAATGCCAATCCTGAAGTATCCACATGGTACATTTGTGAATTATATTGAAGTTAATGAGGTTCAAGTAGGAAAATTCTTATTTATTCAATTGTGACACATACATTTTTGCCATGAAAATGTTGTTTTAAATGAAATTAGCTCCTAGATGGGTGCCCCTATATGCATGATTTTAGCACATGTTGTTCCTTGACCAGTTATCTTCAAAACCGTGTCTCAGATTTCCAAAAACATCAATAGAACAAATTTTATACCTAATTAAATTTAGTGATTTCTTATGAATTAAGGTTGCAAACTTAATTGAAGGTTTATGAGAGAATGAAATACAATAGGAAAAATCTGAGACACGGTTTTGGAGGTCAAACTATGTTGCTCAAGAATCTATCAAAAATTTTGGGATGCTATGAATAACAACGAAGCTAATTTCATTCAAATGTGGACATCACAATCTAGCAACTAATAACATAATAATTAATTATGTTATAATTATGTAATTATGAAATCATCACCATTTGAAAGATTATTCTTTCTTCTTTCTTTTGGTTCCTCATATATAAATTTTAGAGCTGGATGAAAGAAATTACATCAATTTAAAGTTGTCTGATGGGGGTGAAACAATCTTTGTATTGTGTTACCTTAAATCACTGGTTATTATTAAATTGAATTGATATGCTTTATTAAGATTATTTTAACTGTTGTAGCTATAAATTGCCTTGTTATATATATTGTAATCAGTTGTATAGTTGAAAATGCAATACTTGATAAGTATTCCATGTTAAATCATTTCAGCTTGTAATGCAGGATCTACCCAAATCAGCAGTAGTATCAATAGTTTTCCATCTCAGAAGGTATTGTATCAACCATTATCTCATTACATTACTACATGAAAAAATTAATATTCAGTCAAAAATTAAAATTTTGTCAAAGAAAAATGTTTATAGCATCAGGAATGTTTTTTAAAGGATAGATGTTCTATGGATTTGTTTAGTTCACTGACCTAAAAGTATTCCAAAGTGTATTGCAAGCTTTCCGCATTCTGTGTTCAGACTTCAATCAGTACAAAATGAGCTTAAGTGATAGTTATTAACAGTACAAAAGATCAGTTGAAATAAAAAAAGAAACACATTCTTTTGTAAAACAAAAATGTGATATTGAAGATTTTATAGATAATAGTAGATTTCTAAAGTTCATAAAACATTAAAGCAGCCTACGTGAAAGGCTATAGTCGTGTAGAGATATCATATATGGGATGGGATAAGAGTAGATGATTAGAGAAGTAAAGGATATGTTGTGTAAGTTGTTTGGAAAAATATAAACCTTACATATTGTAGTTCATTTTTTTTTCAGGGATGGGTCATTACATGTTACATGTAAAGAGGAAAGTTCACAAAAGACAGTCTCAATTACAGTTGAAGTTCAAAGTTGACAACCAGCTGATGATTAAAACATAACAATTATATATTAAGTTATTGCTTTGATGGAGATCCGTCATTATCTGATTTACAGTTGTACGTGGATTGCAGTATTACGTTTGTTAATGATATTCATCTTTTTATACAAAGTTTTATTTCCCCAAAGTTATTCTAATTGATTATACTAGAGATACACCCATGTTTAGTACTTTTATACAATACTGACTTATAAAGATAAGAGCTATAGATAAGATAACTGAAAGAAATATAAAGAAAGACCAAAATCATGTGTTTTTATTATTTTGATTATACCCAGTGGATCAGAACCAACAATTTTCTTCTTTTGCTAATTTTACTGTCCCATTTCAATTAAAAAATTAATGGTACACTATCATGTTCAGCCATAATTATACCCCTGTTCCAAAGGAGGGGGTGTACTGGTTTAACTCTGTCTATGTGTCTGTGCAATAAAATTTTGGTTGTAATTTTATCAGGCACTTCGAATTCGAGCTTCCTGAAATTTGGGTAAATCCCCACTTTGAAGAAGGGTGGTTTACTGGTTTACCTCTGCTTGTCTGCCCTTCTATGGGTCAGTCCTTCCATCCTACCATCCAATAAAATGTTTATCGCATTATCCTCAGAAACTATGATTCAGAGCTTCCTGAAATTTTGTATTAAGCTTCATTGTAAGGATGCTATACTCTATACTAGTAATTGTGTTTTCACATCACTCATCAACTGACTGTTTACATTCATATATATTGTTACACATTTTTTCATGCAATATAAATCTGAGTTTTCTGAAATTTGATATCAAGCTTCATTTCCTATTTTCATTTCTGCACTCTTAAGTTTGCCTCATCCAAATTTTAAAACTCCTACACAATGCTAAGAACCAAAACTAGCAGACAGAGTTCGAATTTGGGCAGTGAGTCAATTACCGTTCTAAAGTTATGCCCCTTTATAACTTGGAAAATTACTATTTTTTTCTGCACTCTAAAGTTTGTCTCATTCAAATTTTATGAAACTCGTACACAATGCTAAGAACTGTAACAGGCGGACAGAGTTTGAATTTGGGTTGCGAGTCATTTACCTTTCTAGAGTTATGCCCCTTTTTAACTTGAAAAATTGCAAAGCTTGAACGGGGGCATTTGTGTCCTCAGGCACATTCTTTTTTTATTTATCTTTCAAATGATAGGAAATTTCATTCAAATGTCAGCTTAAAATTTTTAAAATGTCAGATTTTCTTGGCCTTTCATTGTCATCTACTTGAATCAGGAAGTTCAGTTACTGAAAACTTCAATTCTGCAATGCTTAATTTGAGGGTCAATGTATATGCATCATGTACATTCCTTTGTTTCTATTCTTTCCAAATTTTGTTGTCATCAATGAACCTAAGTGTGTTGATTTAAGTTTGTGAATTATATTTTTTTTAATCTATCAACCCACAATTACACAATGAATAAAAATAGTAGAACATAGTGTTAAATTGAAAATTATAATTGTCTAATATATCTAAAAAGCTCTAGTTGATAGAGAATCTTGTAGAGCAAAATTTTATAGAAAGAAATGGATCTTTTGTAAATCCAAGAGGGGGGAGGGGGTGCTGATTTTTTACTGTCTTGTCTATGATGAAATCTGTAGAAAGTGGCATAATGATGCTAATCCAGTGTGGGGGGTATTATATTTAAAAGATAGAAGACCTTGATATTTCATACCTTGTGTCGTAATTTCTGCTTCTTGCTATGTTTTTGTATAGTTTTAAAGCCAGCAAATATGAATAAACCCTCAAAACTTGTGACTAAACTAAGGGATAAATAAATACGGCCGTCAAATCTGTTGTCTGTTCTCTCTCATCATTGGTAGCGTGAATAAATAATCAATAGTAGAAAATGATACTTTTATTAAACTTCTAGAACAGCCGATATATTTCCATACATGTACAATATTCCAGCAACAATTATATAATTTACATACGGTGCGGAGCTACTAAAATAACATTCTTTCTCTTGTATTTTTGTACGGACCAAACGGGATCATCTTAATAAATTCTACAATGACAACGTAAATAAATGCAAGGCATACAGCTATCTGCGCTGCTTCTTACCTCTAGACTACGACCCTTACTTGTAATATAAACTGCGAGGCATACAGCTAAATGCGCTGCTCCTCACCTCTAGAAACCCCCGGGCTGAGCCTTGCTGCAAGCCAAATGTAAACACAGCAAAGACTGACGAACGTGACGTTGCACTGGTATTTATTTGAAATTCCCGGAAGTAAATATTCTAAGCAGGAAGAAAAACATAACGTCAAACGCTGACATAAAATATACAAGTCCTCGACTCAAAATACTTATAATAATAAACTTTTGTTACTAAAACAATCAAGACATATTATTTCTTCCAGTTGAGAGCTCACAAAGGAACACTTTTGGGTTCACGATTACAATATTAACCCAACGGTAACGTTCTGAATAATACATGACAAATTTGCGCCATATATGACGTAATCGATACATCTAATAACATAAAGTAAAACGTACGTTAATTACTCATTCAATATACTAGAAATACTAGAAATAACTTCTGACAACTCATATAAACTCTCTTAATACAATAAGAACAACATTTCTTTACTTGGAAATAACCAATACACACATTTACAACACTGCCCCTCCCCCAGATTACATTTCGTCCTCGAAATATGGTCTTGTCAATTCTGACATTACATTTCAAAAATTCTTTTCACAATATTGCTATGTACGTAATACTCTATTATACAAATAAAAAATCTCTAATTTGCCAAAAAAAGGAAATATTAAAGCTATCTTAAAACTTAAACTTAACCATACATCAACAAACTACTGCGCCTGTTTATGTCATAAAAACTAATGTCTGTGTTAACAAACTAATGCGCCTGTTAATACTTAAAAGGCAAAATATACATTTTTCTTCATTGTGTCATTATCGAAAATATAAAATAAAAGTCTATTTTTGCATCCAGTTACAGCACTAATACCGTATACTCCATTTAAAGTTCAATTCAAGATTCTCCATTCTATCAGACGCTGGAATTATAAACATCATGAAGCTCAACTTCTTCTAAACACCAGGCTAACCATAAGCCAACAAATGTCCTATCAAGTTCTATACCACAAGGGTACCCCGCGTATAAATTTATACACAATCTTCGATACTGATGTACCATACAAACATAAGTATAAAAATAGGTACAAAAGTACAACTAATAAACAATAGTCATCAGTATTCCCCGAGAAATATCTAAAATGGTGTAGACTATAGCTCAGCATACCCATGGTGTAACCAAAATGTATATTGCAATCTAGACTAATCATTAGCCTTAACTTAATCTCCGCCAAAACAAAAATGGCTCCTTATAAGTATCCTAACTGCCAATATTAGCCTTAACTTAATCTCCGCCAAAACAAAAATGGCTCCTTATAAGTATCCCAACTGCCAATATACACCCACCGAAAGCAGCTTCCCACCAAAATAGTATTAAACAATCTTAACTGCATTAAGGACAACAACGCCAATAGGACCATCAAATTCTAGCTTCTAATAAAAAAACATCACCTGTTTTCTAAAATCTTAAAAACAATTTCAATAACACAATATATTTCTTAAAGTGCAAAAATCTATACATATTTGTGCTTAGTGTACTGTATACTCAGTGGATAAACAAATATTACAAGTCTTCTCAATAAACCATTAAATCACTTTTTACATTTTATCAATAACAAAAAAAATCACACAAGCTTCATATCTACATTATAAAAAATCCGAATCCACACAAAAATATTCTGATATTTGGCCAGTAGGCTTATCTGCTATATAGGCCCAACTATTTCTGATAATCCTGACTTGTAAATCCAAACTGCGGGTTCCCTTCGAAAGTATTCATATTTTCTGGTTTCCCTCTTTTTCCTCTTGAGAAAGGACAATCTCTGCTGTAATGTCCCTCTTGGTGGCATGAGTAACATGTACTTTCCTCAATCGTCCTTGTATTCTGCACAGGCGAGTTTATAGGACTTACTGTGGGACTGGAGGTAGATAAATTAACACCATCTTCTATACCCAAATCTACTAAATTACAGGGCTCAACAGTTCCGCTCTGTGAAATAATTATATTCTTCATACTTTTCCCCCCTTCCAAAATTTGGAGCTGGGATTTTTCTATTTCTAATATTCATTTTTAAAACAAACAATAATATGCCAATAGAAGCTAACTACACCTCTATTTCTCTAATAAATAATTATTTGGAAGCTAAAATGCACCTCCTTTATAATTTTTTTTTCTTTCTAGGAAGCTAAATGCACCTCCTTTATATTTTTTTTCTTGCTAGGAAGCTAAAATGCACCTCCTTTATAATTTTTTTTAATTTTTTTTTCTCTAGGAAGCTAAATGCACCTCCTTTATAAATAAATATTTTCTTTTTTCTTTCTAGGAAGCTAAATGCACCTCCTTTATAAATTTTTTTTCTAGGAAGCTAAATGCACCTCCTTTATAAATATTTTCTTAATTTTAGAAGCTAAATGCACTCCTATATTTTCCAAAATATTCAATTTATTACAGTATAATGTATAGAGTTAAGCGCACTCCATACACAATATTTGTCACTTAGTGTGTTCCATACACATTAGTATTTCTAAAAATAGACGTGCCAAATTCCTTGAAACGTGAGAACTAAACCGCTGCCACCATTGTCGTAATTTCTGCTTCTTGCTATGTTTTTGTATAGTTTTAAAGCCAGCAAATACGAATAAACCCACAAAACTTGTGACTAAACTAAGGGATAAATAAATACGGCCGTCAAATCTGTTGTCTGTTCTCTCTCATCATTGGTAGCGTGAATAAATAATCAATAGTAGAAAATGATACTTTTATTAAACTTCTAGAACAGCCGATATATTTCCATACATGTACAATATTCGAGCAACAATTATATAATTTACATACGGTGCGGAGCTACTAAAATAACATTCTTTCTCTTGTATTTTTGTACGGACCAAACGGGATCATCTTAATAAATTCTACAATGACAACGTAAATAAATGCAAGGCATACAGCTATCTGCGCTGCTTCTTACCTCTAGACTACGACCCTTACTTGTAATATAAACTGCGAGGCATACAGCTAAATGCGCTGCTCCTCACCTCTAGAAACCCCCGGGCTGAGCCTTGCTGCAAGCCAAATGTAAACACAGCAAAGACTGACGAACGTGACGTTGCACTGGTATTTATTTGAAATTCCCGGAAGTAAATATTCTAAGCAGGAAGAAAAACATAACGTCAAACGCTGACATAAAATATACAAGTCCTCGACTCAAAATACTTATAATAATAAACTTTTGTTACTAAAACAATCAAGACATATTATTTCTTCCAGTTGAGAGCTCACAAAGGAACACTTTTGGGTTCACGATTACAATATTAACCCAACGGTAACGTTCTGAATAATACATGACAAATTTGCGCCATATATGACGTAATCGATACATCTAATAACATAAAGTAAAACGTACGTTAATTACTCATTCAATATACTAGAAATACTAGAAATAACTTCTGACAACTCATATAAACTCTCTTAATACAATAAGAACAACATTTCTTTACTTGGAAATAACCAATACACACATTTACAACACCTTGTATACAGGTGGCTTCTCATGTTTTGAAATTTATGTCAGTCATATATTGATTGTTTTAAACCTCTATTTCATGGTTAAGCAACTTTTTTTAAAATCTGTTTTTATTTATCAAACAGATTTCACACTGATAATGAGTAATGGGATAACTATATTTGGTATATGGCATCCTTTCAATGTCTACACATCCGTCAAACAGGGATCATCTGACCTTGACCTCATCAGTTTCATGGTTCAGTTTTTGTGGTCAAGTTCATATCTCTGATACTATAGCCAATAGGTCAACTATATTTGGTGTATGGAATGATTGTAAGGTGCATTTGTTTATCTGGATGCATTCATATGACATTGACCTCAATTATGGTTTATTGGTCAATGTTATTTTTTCATGGTTAAGTGTTCTTAAAATACTTTGAGCAATAGGTCAATTATATTTGGTGTATGAAATGATTGCAAAGTGTACATGTCTGTCTTGCTGGGTTCATCTGCCCTTGACCTTATCTACATGTATCATTAATTATGTTAAGTTTTTTGTATACTTGTAGTAAAACTTTTAACTTATTTCAACTTTGAATTAAACATAAATTAAATAATGAGCAGTAAAGCAGACGTGTGTTCTCTTTTGTAAATATCAGTCAATATGACACAATTTTTCCAAAATCAGTGATTCAGGGGAGGAACTATTTAGAACACACAGTTCTTATTCATATATCAAAATATCCAACAATTAAAATAAAGGAAAATGAAACAATATTGTGTAAAAAATTTAATAACACACTAAAAAACATGAAGCCTCTGTAGGAAAGAAATATTGATATGTTATTCACATTTACATTTAGGTTATAACTGGTGTAAAGTTTTACTACATTAATTCATTTAGTAGTTTCATTCTTCTTGCAATAATAGCTTGCAGATTTTTACTTATATTTCTGCAGTACTGAATACTTCATGTTATTGGGAATTTGAGATCCCTTTAACATCTCCAGTACACCATTATAATTCAATTATAACAATTTTCAACCACCAGTTCTAATTTATAAATACTAAAGAAAAGATATCAGATCATGAAATTACCATAAATGCAGTAAAATTGAAAAATAATTGTATAAAATTATGACTTTTAACTAGCATGCTATAATATATAAAGAGTTTGTAACTTTAAAGACTTATTATCAATCAAAATATTAGGATACCATTTTTGTTTGCTTCAAGCAAAAAATATTTTACACATGAAGTGTTTTTGTTATTATCTTACTTGATCACAAAAATTAAATTTGAATATGCTTGTGCTCTTTCTCGATTTAGCTGCAATTTTTTTAGCTAAATCCCTGAATTATTGCATCATCAAATCAGAGTTTATGTTAATATTTTATGAAAGGTTTCTATCAGATATTTAAAAATAAATTATTCTAAATGGTTGGCAGCATACAATTTTTCTTTGTCCTTGATTTTGTAGGGCAAAATAAGCCTCAAAATGTGTTTCCTTTCCAATGTCTAGTTTGTTAAAAACTGTAGAGCTTGATTGCATATTAATGATGGGTCTATTTGGTCAAGCGGTCTAAGTAGTTCATCTGCTATGATAGTTAGCTTGTCAACACCGAGGTTATGACTTCCAACCCTGCTCATGGCAAGGTGTGGTTTTTATTAATTGGTCAGAAATGTCAGTTTTCCAACCATAAGTCTGTGGTTCTCTCCTGATACTCTTGTTTCCTCCACCAATAGAAACTGGCTGCCATAATTCAGCCAAAGGCACTGAAAGTGGAGATAAACACAAACAAACTAACAGATAAACAAAACATATTTATGTACTGATAGTGCTAGAAATTTTAGAAATTGAGTGTAGTAAATGAAAAGTACTATCATAGTCACTGATTATCTCTCCCATCAATGTGCAGATCTCGTGGAGAATTAGTGCTGTCCATCACAGCATTTAGAATCTGCATGTGCATAGTTTGTTGTAGACAAGCCTTATTCACTCAAGTAAAACCAGTTGTGTATATTTAATTACATCATAGTTTGAACATATTCACAAATTGTTCAGGTGTTATAGAAGACTTTGATGGAGCCATATCTGGATTTGAACAGGGATGTCCTTGTATCTGAAAGAAAAATGAAACCAGTGATTATCTATGCATATCTGTTAAGTATTATGTATTTAAGAAAACAAAATGGTATTTCATTGAAGTACCTAATCTTCCAAAAGATTGAACATCTGATGCAACTTAAACAGTTAAATGAAAATAAAAGGAGTTATTCCATATTGATAGAACTTTAGTAGGTTTTTCTATATGAATGGTATTTTGAATAAATAAGCATATTCATCTGCGGAAAAAGTATATTCACCGCGCAAAACGTCGCATGCTTTTACGCATATAATTATGTTAAAATCGTTTGATGTACAATTGGTTTTGGTAAATAATTGTCATAACATACATTTCTATCTGTACTCTCGGAATATGGAATAAAACAATTACTGTCTTTTGTTTCGGTAAATATGTGGTTTAATTGACTTTTGAAAAACTGATAATCTCTTCGGCCGTTGGCCTCAGTGAATATCAGTTTTTCAAAAGTCAATAACCTCATCAAAAGACAGTAATTGTATAATATTGGTTATATGTCAATGACATAGCAACACGAAGCTAATAATCAAATGACATCTAGAGGTCAGCATACAGTCTTCAATAATAGACAGGTGTCTACACAATATGTCAATCTCTAAATCATATGTGTATAAAAAAATGAATGAATTTAATAGAAACCAGCAAAGATCTGCCTTTAACAATCGAGATTTAAAAAAAGTCTTTTTAATCATTTTTGATAGATCAATTTGGGTTTGTTGATTATTATTGTAATTGCGAAAGAGTACTCACCCTCCAATATAACTTCCTACAATTATCGCACAAAACAACCTCGTCTCCGTACACCTCCGTAAATGTTAATTTGAACCGCCTGTTTGAATAAAATTATATTTCTGTAATAACAGTCTTCACTGATGCTGGACAAACATGTTATACACATTAAAATATACAGTTCTGTGGTAAATATCGCATGCATTTTTAGGATGAGAACATTTTCAACAATAATGAATTATGCAGATTCAGTCTCTAGAGTGAATAAAGAGGGATGGAGGGAAGGAAAAAGTAGTTAGTTTTGACTCTTTATCCTTTAAAGAACTGTTGTGAGTTGGGTTCTCTTGCATTCAGAGATCTGGGTATTCTATTGATACAATCATATTTATTGTCCTCATTGCGTCTGGAATAAGTTAATGATTTCTACGTTAAATTTACTTGTTCCAAGTTATTTTTATGACCACAAACTGAAATCCATTAAACTTGCTTAGGTCCTCTTCAACCTCATACTTTATTTAAAATTGAGAATGGAAATGGGGAATGTGTCAAAGAGACAACAACCCAACCTTTTTTATTCTACCTGATGAGTCTTTTGTAGACGAAACGCACATCTGGCATACAATTTTTTATACGACCGCAAAAATTAAAAATTTTTTGGTCGTATATTGGTATGACGTTGGCGTCGTCGTCGTCGTCGTCGTCGTCTGGCGTCGTCCGGCGTCGTCCGAAGACACATTGGTTTTCGCACTCTAACTTTAGTTTAAGTGAATGGATCTCCGTGAAATTTTACCATAAGGTTCAATACCACAAAAGGAAGGTTGGGATTGATTTTGGGGGTTATGGTACCAACAGTTAAGGAATTAGGGGCTAAAAAGGGGCCAAAAATAAGCATTTTTGTAACTTCCAGACATAACTTGTGTGTTAGTGTATGGATCTCTCTGACATTGTACCACAAGGTTCCATATCACAAAGGGAATGCTGGGATTGATTTTGGGGGTAATTGCCTCAAAATGTAAGGAATTAGGGGCCAAAAAAGGGGCAAAAAACAAGCATTTTTCTAGTTTCATGACAATAACTTGTGTGTAAGTGTATGGATCTTTCTGAAATTGAACTACAAGGTACTATATCACAAAGGGAAAGCTGGAATTGAGATTGGGGGTAATTGCCCAAAACATTTAGGAATAAGGGGCCAAAAAGGGGCCAAAAATAGCATTTTTCTAGTTTCCAGACAATAACTTGTGTTCAAGTGTATGGATCTCTCTGAAATTGTACTGCAAGGTACCATACCACAAAGGGAAGGCTGGGATTGATTTTGGGGGTAATTCCTTCAAAATTTTAGGAATTAGGGGCCAAAAAGGGGACAAAAACAAGCATTTTTCTAGTTTCATGACAATAACTTGTGTGTAAGTGTATGGATCTTTCTGAAATTGAACTACAAGGTACTATATCACAAAGGGAAAGCTGGAATTGAGATTGGGGGTAATTGCCCAAAACTTGGGGGGGGGGGGATTTTTTTTTTTTCCTTTTTTTTCCTTTTAAAGTTTTCCATTTTAAGTTGGTTATTTCTGATTTATATTTAAAAGCAAATAATAATGATATGGTAGGAGATACATACCAAGCAGGATGTGTAAATTATTATATAATAAGTATTGTGCAATAGCAAGAAATTTTCAATTGCACAGTATTGCACAATAGCAAGAAATCTTCCATTGCACAGTATTGCGCAATAGCAAGAAATCTTCAATTGCACAGTATTGCGCAATAGCAAGAAATATCCAATAGCACAATATTACACAATAGCAAGAAATTGTCAATTGTACAGTATTGCGCAATAGCAAGAAATATTCAATTGCACAGTATTGTGCAAAAGAAGATACTTCGTATAAATTACTTATTTCTTGACCAATTTCAATGGGGTTTTATTCTTGAATTCTTGGGGTTCTTTAATATGCTGAATCTAACCGTGTATTAAGTTTTTGGATTTTGGGCCCCGTTTTTAAATTGGTCCACATTGAGGTCCAAAGGGTCCAAAATTGAACTTTGTTTGATTTCATCAAAAATTGAATTATTGGGGTTCTTTGATATGCCGAATCTAACCGTGTATTTAGATTCTTAATTGTTGGTTCCGTTTTCAAATTGGTCTACATTAAGGTCCAAAGGGTCCAAAATTAAACTTAGTTTGATTTTAACAAAAATTGAATTCTTAGGGTTCTTTGATATGCTGAATCGAAACATGTATTTAGATTTTTGATTATGGGCCCAGTTTTCAAGTTGTTTCAAATCGGGGTCCAAAATTTAACTTTGTTTGATTTCAACAAAAATTGAATATATGGGGTTCTTTGATATGCTGAATCTAACCATGTATTTAGATTTTTGATTTTTGGGCCCCATTATCAACTTTGTCCACATTGAGGTCAAAAGGGTCCTAAATTAAACTTTGTTTGATTTCATCAAAAATTGAATTCTTGGGGTTCTTTGATATGCTGAATCTAACCATGTATTTAGATTTTGGATATTGGACCATAATAGGTGAATGTCCAATTTAAAATTTTTAAGTTCTTAGACCACATTCATTCTGTGTCAGTAACCTATGCTGTGTCAAATATTTAATCACAATCCAAATTCAGAGCTGTATCAAGCTTGAAAGTTGTGTCCATACTTGCCCCAACTGTTCAGGGTTCGACCTCTGCGGTCGTACCAAGCTGCGCCCTGCGGAGCATTTTATTAAGCCTTGTATCTATGATAAGTTTATTCAATATAGTTGGCTTAGAAGCTAGGTATTTACTTACCCTTTACATAAATAAAACATATGTATCCAGATAGTGTCACTGTAATCCAAGTCATCGGTAGTAAGTGAAGCAACTTGTTTTTCCGAGAAATGGAGGAAGCATAACTGTTGCCATAGTAGTGAATCTTCACATATGACATTGAGATAGCTACAAGCTTGTCCCAGGTTAAGAATGTCTTTAGGATTTGACAGTTTGGAAATAATGTTGTAAATGCATTCTTTTGGTAGATCTAGAAACATTGGCTTACCATCCTCTTCTCTCTGAAATTGCAGTATAGATTATAAGATCTTAGATTTGACTATAGTTATTGGATTCAAAGTTAAAAGTTCTGTTTGTTTATTTGTAATGCATGTTCTGTGGTAATTATACTTGAAACCTTGACTGAGATACAAATTTGATCCCCTAGGAAACTAACTATTGAAATTATAAGGTGAGAATATTGTTATTTTTGTAGGGCCAAAAGAGCCTCTAAACGGCCTTCTCTCTAATTCATAGCTTAAAAAAACTGTAGAGCTTAATTGCATATTAATGATGGGTCTGGGTGGTTCCTTGGTCTAGTTGTTCGTTAACTTGTCAACACTGAAGTTATATGACTTCCAATCCTGCTCATGGCGAGGTGTGGTCGTTTTTAATTGCACACCCAAGGTAGTAACAACCCCTCGCCTTTTCCGACCAAGCATAATATACAAACCGGTTTTATTTCAAACATGTCCAATCGACATAGAAGATTGCTAACTGTCTCCTTATGTTTGTTCCACAACCGTTTGCTACCAATTCTATTCCTCTCTCCCTTTTCCAAAGACGTCAATGCAGTCCTCAACAGTTTACGTACACAATTAAGATTTGTTTCAGAAGACAAAGCTGAAAATAAAGCAATACAATTGAGAATGGAAATGGGGAATATGTCAAAGAGACAACAACCCGACCAAAGAGCAGACAACAGCCGCAGGCCACCAATGGGTCTTCAATACAGCGAGAAAATCCCGCACCATGAGGTGGTCCTCAGCTGGCCCCTAAATAAAATTCTAGTTCAGTGAAAATGGACGTCACACTAAACTCCAAAATATATAAATCAACTAAAATTAAAAAACACACAAGACTAACAAAGGCCAGAGGCTCCTGACTTGGGACAGGCGCAACAATGCGGCGGGGTTAAACATGTTTTGTGAGATCTCAACCCTCCCCAATACCTCTTGCCAATGTAGAAAAAAGAAACACATAGCAATACGTACAGTAAGAAGTCCGAGTCCGATGTCAAAATAGGTACCAAAAAGAAACTAAGCAAAATGACAATGATACATAAATGAACAAAGGACTACTAGCAGTTATTGACATGCCAGCTCCAAACCTCAATTTAACTGATTGAAAGATTATGTCTTCATCATATGAAAATCAAGTACAATCCTTCCCGTTAGGGTTTAGTATCATACCATCATAAAATATATGAGAAGAACATAACCCGTATCATGCCAACAACTAGTTTTAGAATAAATGTGTTTATTTCCGATGCAAAGACCCTATGAGTGAATCAATATTAATACCAAAATATGCAATCCTTAATGACTTGACAACAGTATCGTAACTATATCCTTTCCGAATAAGTCTGTTTAAAGGTTTGGTTAGCTTTTGAGGTGAATGCCGACATTTTTGTGCTTTGTAAAGAATATTACCATAAAACATTGGATGTGAAATACCTGAACGTATGTAAGATGTGCAAACATTAATTTCAATGGAAAACTTGCCACTTAAAACATGCCTGTATATATATAATTTTTTAAAAGAGAAGTCGGTCGATTTTGGGGAATTGAACGTGTCAGAACTTGTTATATGTGAAATGAGGCTGGAATTTTCCTGGCTTGTCTGAGTGAAAGAGACATCTTTTTGTTGGTTTTTATTTTTCAAGCACACTGAAAAATCATTTATGAACATTACAATCATGGATTCAGCTCTTTTATTGGGAACCAACTATGAATTAATACGATTATAAAATCAGAACAAAAGAACCGAAAAAAATTCTGTTGCTTTGAATTTCTGTATTCTGTATTATTAAAAAGAAATTTGACCTGTGAACAAAGGGAAAGAAGATACCAATGAGGCAATAATAACACACAAGTGGAAGAAAGACTACATAGTGAAGAAAACAAATACGACAAAAAGACAAGTCCACAAACCACTAAACAAGACTGAGCAACACGAATCCCAATAAAAAAATTTTGGCCCAGGGAGGGCAAACAGTTTCCTTTCTACATGAGGTACCCTGTCGTAGTGTTCATATAGCAAGTACAAATTTGGTGGCACCAGGTCACATTCGACTCATCCCGTGCAATTGCTATCCGCAGTCGTCCTCAGTATTACTTATAATCATATAAAACATTTACCAAATTGCAGTGTGAATCATTCAACTAAATTGATTAATTAGTAAAATATTCTAACAACTAGTAACTAAAGACTACAGTAAGTTTTAAATTAATATGAGAAAGACGGCGAATTGATAGTAGGTTAGATGCAGGGTGGTATTTGCTATTGTATTGTTATTTGGGTGGGTTTTTTTTATATAAAAAAAGATTTTTTGTTAATATAAATTGGTTTTGCAAATGCACTGCTACTTGCCGAAGTCTAGATTCAGCAGTAGGATTATCATTTTAATCATTTGATGTGTTTAGTTATGCGGGGTTACGAAGTCTAGATTCAGCAGTAGGATTATCATTTTTATCATTTGATGTGTTTAGTTATGGGTTACGAAGTCTAGATTCAGCAGTAGGATTATCATTTTTATCATTTGATGTGTTTAGTTATGGGTTACGAACTGCAATTTAATGGATATTTATTTCATATGACTCGATTTTAATGCCGTGACTTACATTCAATACACAGTAATTGGAAGAAAGGATATACATTTTTTCTAAATTAATAAAAAGAATTAACAAAACCATTTAATTAAAATTTTAAATAAAGATAACTTTCCACTTGATTAATTTTAAGATTTGTTTATTTGATAGTGGAAACTATAGAATTTCTAACCCCATGAAACATGACAGCGTTATAGCTACTTTGTCTCTAAAAAGTGTGACTTAAAAACAAGTAAGAATTGTAATTATATGTATATTGCATTGACAGCAAAATTATAAGAAAGTTCACCTTCAAATAGCATCTTTTCAATAGCTATAAAAACTTGTCTCTGTGATGTACCACTGATTTTGTTCAGCCCAACTGTTAACAATGATCTGAAAAACTACGAAATGGAATCTCTTTTAGATACAAATGTGTTATATACTGATTTGTTTTTGTAATAAAGGTTACGCCTGCATGGGTTTAATGTCGACCTAACAATTTTTGTTTTGATGATAACGTAATTGGAAATTGCATTATTCTTTCTTTGTTGTTTCTCTTGTCAATACTTTTCAAGCAAATCAAAGCTATCTTTTCCTCTGCAGCTACAGAGTATACTGGGTAGGTGTTCTGTAAACCTTGTGACTTTTGATATGGCCGTCGTTCGACTGGTATATCATGGTTTAATACCACTGTCCATCGAACCGTTTCCGTTTCCATTTTGACAATCGTCTTTTAATATTGTCGGTTTGAAGTTATGAAACTTAAATTATAAAAAGTAGGTGTGTGATTTTGTCCTCATATATGGAAACTCAGTACGGTTCCACCGAATGATATGGAATTTGACAACATATCCTAACCTGTAAATTTATTCTTTTTTATACATACTAGTAACTGATTTTCTGATTGGTTATGCTGTGTTTTTGTGATTTTTTTTATTAGATAAAGGAGACGGGATCATGGATTCATAGCACAGCTGCCTACTCATGAAAAACACAAGGAAACGATAAGGCTGGATGCCAATACACTGTAATACATTGTTGTACTTACATCAGAGCAGTAACGAAATCCACCAATACTTAATGCCACTTTCTCAACTTCTAACTTTTGTAAAGTTTCACTCAAACTTATTGTTATTCGTCTCTAAAATGAAATAATTCATTATATGTAAAACGCCTGATACAGACCACTTGTGTCAGGAAAGGATATAGCATCAAATAGTGTGTGTAAAGAATATTCTTTACGTATAAAAGCATTCCAATCTATTATGATAATTAAAAAAAAAGTCAATTGTCTTATGATCTCTTTAATAATATCTTGAAATATCCAATATTTGTCTTATGATCTCTTATCATGAAATATCCAGTATTAGTCTTATGATCTCTTATCATGAAATATCCAATATTAGTCATATTTACTGATTTCAAGTGTAGCTTTTGAATTGAAGATGAGCAGGTAAAAGAACATCTTATTGTGACATGAGAGTCTATTATCAACCATTTTTTCATTGCTTTGTTTATTCAAAATTTTACCTCTTTCCCAGTTCCCTGAATTTGATGAATACATGGCTGCCATACATCTTCGTCTGCACTACAAAAGATAACGCATGCAGTTAAAACCAAAGCAAAAAATACATGTACAAGACAAATAAATTAGAAAGAAGTTGCTTTAAATCAATACCAATGGTACTAGTTTTAAAATAAGCATCTTTGTTTGTAAAGAAATAAAGGTTCTTCTTGAAGGTGTTTCTTGATGTGAAAACTCTGTAGACTCACCACAAACTGAATAAAATACGAATGATTTTGTGTAAACTTTGAGCATGAAAGACTTAGTTTACATATCAATGATCTTGGTAAAATATCATTCATTACATATAGGTCCAATTAAATGCACTAAAAGTAATGTCCAGATCTATACTCATACAAACCTTGCAGAATTATTTCGCCGGTTTTGTTAGTATTCGAAAGAATGCCCAAGGTTTCGAATAACTAAACCTGTACTCGGCCAGTTGCGGATATAGAATAGAATATTCCGAATTAAAGGGCCCACAAGGGGCAACATGAGATAATAACATTACACATATTAAACAAAAACAAAGAACAATACTGAGGGAAAGAATTACTTGATCGATAAGAACGCCTCCCCCTTTTGACGAAGCAAATATGATAAATGCATAGGCATTTTATCATTTATATAAAACAAAATACGAATATACATATTTCACGTCTTGAACCAACATAAAAAGGACACCCCACCTTTCAGAACACTGCATTCGCCTTCAATTATCGACGAGCCACTGGAGACTCACGCTGGAGATATGGAGGATGAATATCTTCATGTCATTTTCACCGATGAAACTGCAGTGATAACTGTAATTTTTAAGAGATACCTGATTTTTTCGATTCATTTGATTGAATACAGAATACTTATACTAAATAGTCAAGATTGTTGTAATTTTCCACAATATCAAACTTTTTAGTTAAAGTAACCTAGATATTAGGGGAGAAGGGGTGGATGTCACAGGCATTTGTCTCTGTGTGACACATGCAGTGTTATATTAAGGTATATACAGAAGCGGAGTTAGGGGGGATAGTTAGGGGGCCCGCGGATCCTTATCTGATATAGGATTTTTTTTCAGAGACAAGTGACTGTGGTGGATGTACATTTGCACGTGACCAAAGGAAATATCATGTATTTAAATTGAACAATGCGGCATTGATTGCTACAGCTATTGAAAGGTTGTGGAAGATCTTTTAGTATTACAATTATTCTCTTTTACGTTATTGCATATGCCAAAATGTTGGCTTAATTATACCTATATATTACATCAGAAATTTAAGACCTGTTTTAAAAATCTGAGAATATAATTACCTTTTTGGTTAATATTGAAATAAAATAATATTCAAATAATTTGTTTGTGTACTTACGACATTCTTTCTGAAGCAAAAAGTACCTGACTAGTCTGTGTACCTTTTGCTGCGATAGTACATGCAGGTAAGAGCTGTTTAGAAAAATCTATTTTAAAACATTACAGGTAAATCTATTAAATTTTATTAGAGTATATGCTACTTTCGTTTTGCGCCATTACCATATATGGCAATTTAATTGTTTACAATACCATATTTGTCGATAAATCAGTATAGGCTTGATCAGTGCTTTTTAAAACAGACTAAAGAACGGGTCAATATATATATTGTCTCAGAGACACTTTTAATCCTATATCGTTAATAAATACTTGCATACCATATATATATTTATACGTGTTTATATTTTTTCGTTTGGGCTTGTATTATATTTGCCTTCGGGTTTATATGATCCGTTCATCCTATTTTGACTCTTTCAAAATTCAAGAGTCTATCCTAAATTGAGGTAAATTATATGGCCTTCCAAATACCGTTTCGATTCCTAACATCACTGAAGAGACATTATTTGTCGAAATCCGGATATGATGTACAAAAACCTTTGCAACTTTTGTTTGCGGTATATCATCTTTTCCGCAAGTTTATTGTTTTCTGTTTGGTATTAAATTTAAAATTAAGATCCATTTATTACATCGGTGATCCGTTTATTTGGCAATCGCCAATGGCAGTCAGCAGGGTTTAAGAACATTTGTTGTTCGACCTGTTATATAGTCAAATGCACTTTGTTAAAATATACTTTTTCACTTTTTTGGTCTTTTGGAAAATGTTGTTTGTGCTGTATTTAGACCCCTCTAACAAGAAATTTGTATTGCATGCACACGTATAAAAATTGCGGTTTTTATCCAACGCAATCATAGATTTGAACGTTGTTTTCAATTTAGACTTGTATATATATATATATATCATGTTTCCGATATACCATCTTTTCCGCAAGTTTTTTTTTCCGTTTGGTAATAAATTATTAATTAGATCCATTTTTTACATCTGGTGATCCGTTTATTTGTCAATCGCCAATGTCAGCAGGGTTTAAGAACATCAGTTGTTCGACCTGCTAGTCAAATGCGTTTTGTTAAAATATACTTTTTCACTTTTTTGGTCTTTTGGAAAAATGTTGTTTGTGCTGTATTTAGACCCCTCTAACAAGAAATTTGTTTTGCATGCACACGTATAAAAATTGCGGTTTTTATCCAACGCAATCATAGGTTTGAACGTTGTTTTCAATTTAGACTTGTTTATACATTTTCGTTTGGGCTTGTATTATATTTGCCTTCGGGTTTATATGATCCGTTCATCCTATTTTGACTCTTTCAAAATTCAAGAGTCTATCCTAAATTGAGGTAAATTATATGGCCTTCCAAATACCGTTTCGATTCCTAACATCACTGAAGAGACATTATTTGTCGAAATCCGGATATGGTGTACAAAAACCTTTGCAACTTTTGTTTGCGGTATATCATCTTTTCCGCAAGTTTATTGTTTTCTGTTTGGTATTAAATTTAAAATTAAGATCCATTTATTACATCGGTGATCCGTTTATTTGGCAATCGCCAATGGCAGTCAGCAGGGTTTAAGAACATTTGTTGTTCGACCTGTTAGTCAAATGCACTTTGTTAAAATATACTTTTTCACTTTTTTGGTCTTTTGGAAAATGTTGTTTGTGCTGTATTTAGACCCCTCTAACAAGAAATTTGTATTGCATGCACACGTATAAAAATTGCGGTTTTTATCCAACACAATCATAGGTTTGAACGTTGTTTTCAATTTAGCCTTGTTTATATTTTTTCGTTTGGGGTTTGTATTATATTTGCCTTCGGGTTTATATGATCCGTTCATCCTATTTTGACTCTTTCAAAATTCAAGAGTCTATCCTAAATTGAGGTAAATTATATGGCCTTCCAAATACCGTTTCGATTCCTAACATCACTGAAGAGACATTATTTGTCGAAATCCGGATATGGTGTACAAAAACCTTTGCAACTTTTGTTTGCGGTATATCATCTTTTCCGCAAGTTTATTGTTTTCTGTTTGGTATTAAATTTAAAATTAAGATCCATTTATTACATCGGTGATCCGTTTATTTGGCAATCGCCAATGGCAGTCAGCAGGGTTTAAGAACATTTGTTGTTCGACCTGTTAGTCAAATGCACTTTGTTAAAATATACTTTTTCACTTTTTTGGTCTTGTGGAAAATGTTGTTTGTGCTGTATTTAGACCCCTCTAACAAGAAATTTGTATTGCATGCACACGTATAAAAATTGCGGTTTTTATCCAACGCAATCATAGGTTTGAACGTTGTTTTCAATTTAGACTTGTATATATATATATATATATATAAGTGCCTATAAATAGCAGCACATGACTTACAAATCTATGGGAGTGTGGATTAATCAGTACAGAGATTAATTCAATTACACAAATAAAATTATAGATTGCCTAACAATGTAATTTTAACACACTATTTAGTATGTAAATATAAGAATGTTTAAAATATTTACAAAATGATGAAAATAAACGCAATATTTCGCTAGACTAACTAGCTTTATCAAGCGTGCATCTATCCAGGTGAAATCGGATGTAGATGATAAGAAACTTTTGTTTTGTTGCACTTGAATTAAGCTGCCTTGAAAATAATACATAATTTGGATGAAGTTCAAGATTTTTAAAAAATTGGTAGTTGAAGTTAGCAACGTTCATTGGCCAATATTACAGGATAAAAAGTACGATGCTGTGTACTAAATTATTCTTTATCTTTCCTGTATCTTTTCTCATCTTTTTCGTTAAGACCATCACGTTCTAAAGTGTGGAGTTGGTGGATCCAAAAATTTTCTCTTCTCCTTCTCGCCGTGGTGTCCCACTCGGTGTTGACTTCTATGATTTGGAAGGTAACATTATCAAAAGAATGTTTCGTTGAACGAAGATGTCTTGTGAGAGGACAGTTTTTGTTGGTTTTGTACCATGAACGATGGTTATTGAGCCGAATATTAAATTTGTCCATTGTTTCTCCCACATACTGAATGCCACATGTGTCACATGTTAATATATAAATTGAGTTCTCCGTTTTACAGTTGGAATTTGAGTAGATGGTATAATTTTGTTTAGTAACGGAGCTGATGAAAGAACTGCTTGTATTGGCAGCTTTACAACACAAGCAGTTCCTTCGACCACATTGTTTGTAGCAACCGGGAGATGGAGTAGGCTGCTTTGCTAATACAGATGTCACTAATTTGTCACGGATGTTTTTAGGTCTTCTGAAGGCCATGACTGGTGGTGAGGAAAATACTTTTTTAAGATTTGAATCATTTTCTATAATTTTCCAATGCTTCTGAACTATGGAAGACACATTTTTAAAATCAGGATGGTAAGTGAGTACAAGGGGTGTTCTGTTAGCTGCTTTATTCTTATCTTTGTACTCTAGAAGTTCTTGGCGACTAGTTTTGTTTGCTCTTTCGAAAGCGCTATCAATGATGTTGTTATTGTATCCTCGAACAACTAGATGTTTACGTAGTTGTCCAAGTCTAGCATTTTGCGTATTTTCAGTAGAGCATATTCTCTTGATTCGCAATGCCTGGCTGAATGGGATGCCACGAGAGCAGTGTTTAGGATGGCAACTTTTAGGAGAAAGGAATTGATGTTTGATTATTAAAGAATAATTTAGTACACAGTATCGTCCTTTTTATCCTGTAATATTGGCCAATGGACGTTGCTAACTTCAACTACCAATTTTGTAAAAATCTTGAACTTCATCCAAATTATGTATTATTTTCAAGGCAGCTTAATTCAAGTGCAACATATACATTGAGCTGCAAAAGTTTCTTATCATCTACATCCGATTTCACCTGGATAGATGCACGCTTGATAAAGCTAGTTAGTCTAGCGAAATATTGCGTTTATTTTCATCATTTTGTAAATATTTTAAACATTCTTATATTTACATACTAAATAGTGTGTTAAAATTACATTGTTAGGCAATCTATATATATATATATATATATAAGTCTAGAGATTTCCACAACGATACTAATATAAGATGGTATTATACGAAGATGTTGTTAATAAATCGTGTTGACAAATATTTCGGCTTAACAAATAGCCTTCTTCGGTGTCAATTATTTTAACAATACTGATAATATGTATAAAAATAGCTCAATAATACAGGTAAGTTTTGGTCTATTGATTTAATCCAAAATCCTGAACATCATAATATAAAACAAAACTCAATACTCAAATATACGTGACTGTGTATATTTACAACCCAAAATGAGTGAAAAATAAAACTTAGTATTTTTTATTGATGCCGTTTGGATGATGTACATTAAGTTCCTTTATCCAAAAGCTTTCCCGAACCTGTCGCTGGGCATCACTCCAGTGAATGTTCTGTTCAATCACTAGGATCTTCATGCGGTTAAAGTCATCAAGTGTGTGACCAGACTGTCTGAAATGCTGAGAAACTGGGAGAAGTGGCTTCTTAGAGATATCACTCCTATGGCCATTGAGGCGTTTGTGGAAAAGCTGCTTTGACTCACCAACATATTGGGGGCCACAAACCGAACATTCTAGAATGTAAATAACATTCATACTTTTGCAGTTAACATTGCAAAATATCTTATAGTTATTTTCGGTTGCCTTACTGTGAAAAGTTGATGAGTGATGCATCTGTAGGCAGCATTTGCAGCGTTTTTCATCACACGAACGACATTCTCCAGAAGTACTTCTATTATCAGACACTTCATCCCGCACCAGCAGGTTACGCAGACTATTGGGTTGCCTAAAAGCTATCATGGGAGGCTCGGGAAAAATCTTGGATAGTTTGGAATTCTTTTCAACTGTTTTTCAATGCTCACGAATGACACCGAAGCTGTTTTTGAGAGATGGGTGGTAAGTAAGAACACATGGAGTCCTTTTATTTTTCTTTTTATATTTGTATTCTAACAGTTTACTCCTTGGAATAGTTTCCGCTTTCTGAAAGCCTTTTTGGATAGTTTTGTGTTTGTAGCCCCTTCTCTTCAAGCGGGTTTCGAGTTGACGTAGTTGTTTTTTAGTTGTTTCTGAGTTGGAACATATTCGCTTGACTCTGAGTGCCTGACTGTACGGGATGCTCTTAGTACAATGAGCAGGATGGCAACTTTTAGGGGACAGATATTGGTGAGTGTCAGTAGGCTTAGAATATAGATCAGTGGATATGATGCCATCTGTGAGCGAGCTGGAGGTATCGAGGAAGGTGATTTTGGATTTAGATTTCTCATGAGTAAATTTGATACTTGGATGTATGTTGTTAGCATGAGTGATGAATGTATCTAAATCCTCGTCACTTTTATTCCATTTCATATCCACATCATCTATAAATCTAAACCAGGAAAGCGGTTTTTTTGATGGAAGATTCAAGGAGTTGTTTTTCTAATTTGCCCATAAATATGTTGGCATATGATGGAGCCATTTTGGTGCCCATAGCAGTTCCATTAACTTGCAGATAATGGTCTCCATCAAAAGTGAAGTTGTTGTTTTTGAGTACCAGCGTGAGCATTTTGACCAGGCATTCAGTAGGTGGATATTTCACTGGTCGGGAATTCCAAACTTCTTTACATGCATCAATGCCATCTGCATGTGGAATATTCGTGTAGAGGGAGGTGACGTCCATAGAGACAAGTGTCGTGTCGGGGGGGAGTGGATTTAAGGCCTGCAATTTTCTAAGATAATCGGTAGTATCTTTGATGTGAGATGGTAAGTCCTCAACTTGTTGACGAAGATGGAAGTCAACGAATTCCGATATTTTTTCCGTCGGATGACCGTTCGCTGAAACTATAGGTCTTCCTGGGTTGTTGGCCTTATGAATTTTAGGTAAAAGATAAAATCTGCCCGGTTTTGGATTTTCTGGTTTCAAATATTCTAGAGTCTTTTCATCGATGAAACCATC